AATTTATGTTTTGAGTTTTTGGGTATTAAAAATTTTAAACATCCAACTTTACTTTTCAAGATCTCGATATCGGGTAAGTAAATTAACAAAAATTATTCAATATCTTGAACCTCCATGTGGTCGAAAAAGGGATATATCATAGTTTCTCTTACTAAATCTGTTGTCATCTAAGAAATTTGCAAGTCATAGGGTACAAACTCAACTTTTGGATCATTCTTAAACTTGATTCTCTCAACTGCATTGCACATTTTTCCTTTTGTTTTTATTCTGTTAAAACTGGAACTAATGATTCTTTTGAAAAATCTTTTGTTTGATCATCAATGTTGCTACCTTGACACGAATAATTTGAAATTGAGACTGCATCTAGCTGCTTGGTCTGGGCAGACCGAAGTAGTAAGATTTCTCTGCAAGAATAAGGCTGACGTCGGAGCTGCTGCTATGGATGATACGGCTGCGATCCATTTTGCTGCTCAGAAAGGTCATCTAGAGATAATTAGGATCCTATTATCCTCTGGTGTCTCTGTCAGGGCGGCTAACAGGAAAGGTTTGACCCCTCTGCACTATGCTGTCCAAGGATCCCATCCAGAGCTCTTCAAGTATCTCATTAGAAAAGGTGCAAGCCTTACCGCCAAGACAAAGGCCGGGCAAACACCTATGGACCTTGCGAGCACCGAGGAAGTCCGCGCTCTTCTCGTCGAGTGCAAACAATCTTTGACCAAAGATGATAAATCTACTACGATCATGGAGGTTGGTGACTCGGTTTCAAAGGAGGATATTGAAGCAAAAAATGGAGGCTCCATTCCTGAAGAGTCAGCTAATGTCAATGAAGAAGGCACGGATACTAAGGAAAAGAGAAGAGGTGAGGCAACGGCTGATGAGGACTCATCAAAACCGAAAAAGGCTAAGGTTTCCCTTGATCACCTTCTGGCTGAAAATGATGTCTTAGATGAGGATGAAGAATAGGACACAGGTATGAAAGAGAACAATCATATAAGGGCAGTTCTAGTGTTGAAGCTCTAACATTTTATGGTAACTTTATGTGTTGTTTTCTTGGACTTTATGTGTTGATCTGTAAGGTTTTCTTTGTTAGCAAGTGTTGCACATCTTTATTCTTCGTGTCCTTGTTGTATCTGAAGCATGCTTTTGCAGTGGATGAACGAAAAGTTCTCACATTTTCAGATCAGTTTTCTCATGAACTTCTTATCGTTGTACTGTATGTTGAACTTACACTATGATCCGGACGAATGGAGAGTCGAAGAATCATGTTCTATTTTGATGTAGTTGGTCCTTTGAACTGCAAGTTTGGCTGCTACAGATGGATGGTCTCTTCTTCCAGTTTGTGTAGGTCTTGCAGGTTAAGATGGTTTTCGAATTCATGAGCACCTAACTCGACCTACTTTCGACAACGAGTAAATTTGATATCTTCAATTTATTTGCAAGTTCTGTACAAAAAATTAGCAGTGGATTAATTACTCTGTTCCAGAGTTCATCATCTTTTCTCTAATCCTTAAATTTTTTGACTTGAAGCATTGTTATTTAGTGTGATTGGTTAGACCTGCCAACCTCATAACATAGTTGATGATTAGTGTTAGTTTGTGTGGCTAACCTTGATTGCAACCTCACATGATTGATTGGCTGCCACGAAGGCCATGGTGCCTTGGTGGCACCTCACATGATGAGATGTTGGGAACACCTCATCACGACATTGGTATCAGTGCAGTGCAGGTCGATATGATATCGGACACTCATGTCCGGCCAATGTCATTCCCCGACGGAGACAAAGGAGAATAATTAAACAAATCAAATAGAAACCTAACACATGCTAATCACACGCTAATCACGTCAAGTTAAGCAAATCAAACCAAGACAAAAGAGAATAATTAAAAAGGGAAGCAGTTCAGCGTACCAAACCCATCGGACCTCCTCGTCCACAAAACTCTCTCTTTTGTTTCACCAACCCCACCAACGCTTCCACAAAGTGGCCCTCATCACACCTTCCACCAAACACACAAGGATTCCTTCCACCCGTTTATTCCCTGACAGGACGATAACACGAGGATTCCACCGAGTAAAAGAAAACCAGCGTAATCTATTTATCGACAAAACGATGACAGAACTACTACACTGAGGGCAAAAAGGTCAAGAAATTTCTTTTTTATTCACTTGAATTGAATCCTGCCTGTGACAATTTGATGGTAAAAGAGCACTCCAACACCCAGATGCAATGCATAATGATACACACATAAATGTCAAACGGTTATCAGTCAACTAGATCTTGTTTGAGAATACATCTCATCAAAAGCATACAGCAGCCCTCGGAGAAGCAGGGGAAGAGTCTGCGCCCTCCAGCTTAAGAGAAAGGGGATCCCAAACTACTTCGCTGCTGCATTGCCCAGTCTTTTGAGCACATATAACAGCTCTGGTTTGAAGAATTTTGGAGTCGCCTGCATTGGCCACTGCAACTGCCTTTAGCCGGAGCCGCTCAGCTCTTGATCCGATGGTCTGACCTAAGATTGATGCTGCTATCGTAATTGCCATTGCTGTCTTCGGCATCATCACAGACTTCCTAAGCATTGCAATGAAAGGTACGGCTGCGTGAACTGCTGCAAACCACTGCGGGGAGAACTTTGTTGTGTGTTCCCTCCATACCCCGAGCGGGACATTTGCTGCCATGCCCAGCATGGCTATAGCTAGCATCTTGGCTGGTAGAGGTTGCGGCCGGAGGTTCTTTACCAAGGCTGTTCGGGCCAGTGCTGCACGGGCAGCCACCACAACAGGCGGACACCTTAGTTTCATACCTGGTGGAGGCTTTAAAACCTTTGCAACCAGAGGAAGAACCCCACTAACCGCCCTGTATGACTTCGCTATGGGGCACTGCCCGGTTTCCAGCCACTCGTTGCTTCGCGACTCATGCACCGAATCACCTCGTTTCTAAATCAATTTATGTGAAGACAGAGGTTAGTGAATATAATGCCTCATAGCGTGGACTTCATGTAGAAATAATACAATTGTGATTGCTACAACAGTGATTCACAATCTTCCACCAGAAGAAGCCCTTTCGATCATTGTCACTTGCAAAAAGAAATGTGTTTTGTGTACATTCATGACAGCTCAGCAGTAAAGCCAAGAAACATATCACTCTTGGTTGTCAAAGTGAAGCAAGTTATTATTATCAATATGATCAAAGTAATGGAGTATCAAAGAACACATCGAAAATGAAGTCAAATACACGTAAAGCAAACAAATCATGCGATTAACAGGCCAAGAATAATGGAACATAAAGAAACTACCTGAGAAGCTGATTCCTGCTTGGAGGATCTATTATTCTGCATCTTCCACTTTTTGGAGAAAAAATCAAAGCCGAAAGGTCCTCCAAAAGCTGAAAGACTGATTGTGGCTGCCTTTGCTGCTAAGGGATTAAATGTATCAACAAATTCAGGTTCTAGTTTCTCTTGACGTTCTGATGATCTTCCTGTGAGTGGAACAACTCCATCTTGCCCATGGAAAAGCCTAAATGCCATTTCAAAATTGGGTCCATCTTCAAAGATTGGACCCTTGGCCCCTTGCACCTTAACAAATGAAAGAGTCTATGCATAAGTAATTATCACATCACATCTAGTTTGTATGGCACCAGGAAACTTACAGGGACAGGAAAATTGACAGATGAGAAGGAAAAGTTGGTAGGCTCATTGATATTTCTCAAGAATGGGCATCTTTGAATATCTTGCTGAGCAAAAATCTCAGGACACGGTGATTCACTTGATATTCCACTGAAGCCAGACTCCATTTGAATGCCAAGCAGCTAAAACAAAGAAAAGATGAATAAATATTTCAATGCCTCCACAGTTATTATATGAAAATATACAACAGAAGCTAGGATAACATGACATTATATTGAAACAGGAAACAAAAGAAAAATTCTACGAAAGATGAGATAGATAGCCTAATTTTTCACTTGAAAGAACTGATAACCTAGAAAGAGAGGAAAAGGCCTTATACAGATATAGATAGCCTATGGATGTAAATATTGTTTATAGGTCAGACAATTCTTCAATCCAAATCCCTGCCTGAATTGCCAATGTTAAAATAAAGATGAAGTAGTATGGTCCCTAGAAAACAAAACAATGATTCGGTTTATGGTATGTCAGTAAGGGTGACAAAAATTTCTGGCCATCAGCTTAAAACCTTGAAGAACCATTTCATTATGGAAACCTATTAAACTTATATCAAATCAATTCAGTGAAACAAAAGCATATTACAAGAGAAACTTGGGGTGTATATGTTGTTTAAATGTTATTTGTTTGCCAATTTCTCCATTTCAAATCCTTATCTAAATAGCTAATGTTCGAAGAAAGATAAATAAGCATAGTCTACCAAGAAAACAGAATAAGCTTAACGCTTATGTTATGTTACCAAGGGTTACAAGAGTTTTCATCAGCGTAACCAAGTCCTATGATGACCATTTCATGGTGTTAAACCAAAGAAAATTAGAGAAATTAAGTTGAGCAAATTTGGAGGCAGATCCGGCATCAGCCTAAAAGATTGAACTTGCAGTATTAAGCATGAGGGATCAAAGTAGATATGAACATGAATAATAGCCCAAGATCAATCAAACATTCTTCTTTTTATTTTGGTAGGATAGGCATGAATCATGCAGTTCTTTTTTCTTTCCCTTTTTTTCTTGGCATGGTTGACTTTAACAAAATTGCTTCATCAACTTGCAATTTTTCGATGGTAAAGACGACGAACATCCTCCAAAAAAGTTCAGATCAAGGGTCAAATACGCTCGTGCCATCAGAGAGAGGGATCAAAAATATCCCATCTTTCCACCAAAATCACAAACCACTCTCACCATAGAATTCGAAATCACAAAAAAAGTATGACAAAACTAACAACAAATCACCAAGACAGACGCAACGAAGAACAAAAAAAAAAATCCTTCTGTGGCGATCACGCGAAATGGTCGATCCAGAATTCGTAAAGATGATTTTTTTTTCCGATATAAGAAAACAATCTATCGAGAATTCGAGCAGATAGAAGGAGAATACCTCAGGAAATGCTTGAGAGATGGGAACAGAAATCCCAAGGGACGAAGAGAGACGGAAAGCGCCGAAATGAAATCCCAAATCGTGTGGGGAGCACGACGATGCCAGCCGCCCCTCCCAACTTCGCCATTAATTATACTACGGCGACCCGAATTAAAGCACTGGTCCATCCGGTTGCCGCTGGCTTCACGACCGCCTATCATCGGTCACACCTTCCGCCCCGGTCGAGCCGAACCCAAAGGTCAACGCGGCGTTTCTGACCTCACAGGTCGTCCCTCGCCGTCGGATCAAGGACAAGGCCCGTGATATCAGATCTCGCCCGTTGGCTGAGAGACGTAATTGAATAGGTCCGTCGACAAATCAAAGATCTCTCCCCGTGCTGACCACCTCCACCATTCACGTTCGCCGTAGATTGAATTAGTCAGGCATCATGGAAGGTCCTAACGAAGTCGACGTGCACCAATGTCTAATGATCGCATGTGCGATTAAGGGAGTTTGCGAGTAGCTGTCAGCACGCAAACGTAGATCAAATCAGACCAAATACATCCCCTGTAGCTGCAGGATGCGAAGTTTCTCGACTTTGTCGTGTACGCCAGCAATATCGGACTCGGGTGTTAGCCTACGACGTGCGTCCTATCGAGTCCCTAGCGAGGAAATCGTCAACAGAAAGATTAGAGAGCAACATTCTAATCATATAAAAGTCATGATTAAACTATTATCATATAAACAAATTAATATTAAAATTAAATAATTATTGATTAAATTTATGATGTATATATTTTGATATCATTCAAAAAAATTATCTCATCTATAGATGTATCATTGTCAGATTCAATTTATAGGATCATGAATGATAAATTAGATTCTAAAAAAAATTATAAATATATCTGTAATCTCAATGATTAATGTTTCATCCCTACTAGATCCTATAAAGAATAGTCTCTCCTATCAAGATCATCTCGTAAAGAGTCATATTATAATTTGATTTTTTTTTTATTAGTCAATAACTATTATTAGAATTCAGTCATATTTATAATATATCTTATATAATTATATAATGTTATATAATCTAACATTCTTTTACTTGAACTATTAATTGATAAGATATAAATAAATAAATAAATAAATAAATAAATAAAATTATTTAAAAATAACTTTATATAATTAAATTATAAAAATAAATAAATTTTATTTTATATATGATCATAAATTTTAAAATAAGATAATAAATCTAATATGTATAATAATACTACATTAAGTCCAACTACTAATATGAGTCATATCGATTATATGCGATCAATATCATACTTTTTTTTTATGTACCACAATACTATTAATCTTTCCTAATATAATTCATAATAACCTTTATAATTTATCTTATCAAAATAACCTTATTATTATATTCAACTATAATATACATAAACATAAATATAATCAAAAAATAAAAATAAATAACTTTAATTAAGTAAAAATTTAATAATAACATTCACCTTAATATGTGTTATCATATCTTTTCGAATTTACTCACAAGTCTTATTCTGAAAACATATTCTTTAAATAAGCATAAAGATTTAGTAAATGAATCAACAATTATCAAGATGGTACTCATTTTCTCATTTGATACTTATTGTTTCTAGACTTTTTCTCAACCACTAAATACTTTATCTCGGTGTGCTTGAAACCATCAGAGTAGTTGTCAATCTTAAAAAAAAATTTGTTATAGAATTATCATAAAATATTTTTAACGACTTGACAATTGAGTCAATTATACCAAATCGTGAGATTCCACAACAATAAAATTTTATTTGTAGTCTTGAAACATATCACAACTTCAGCTTTCATTATTGATAATGTAATAAGTAATTATTTTATACTTTTTCAAGAAATTATCCGTCTAGTTAACATGAATATAAATTTTAAAATTGACTTTCTACTAAATCAACATCTGAATATTCCGTTACTTAAAGCTGATTTTATCTATTGTATGTAAGCATGTAATCTTTTGTACCCTACAGATATTTCATTATTCTCTTCATAGCTTTCCAATGTTCATTCCTGGATTGCTTGGTATCTACTCAATATTCTAATTGATAGAATATAAGATTTCCCCAACTATATGAGGAAATCTTTCTATTCTGTTAAGGAAAATCCTTTCTCTCTGTATAAATAGGAGAAGGAACATGTATTGAAGCATTTTTCATTTCTTCAATAAAGCTTCTTCACTTCTTCAATAAAGCTTTTCACTTCTTCAATAAAGCTTTTCACTTCTTCAATAAAGCTTCTTCGTCTTCGGTGGTCCTGTTCTTGCCTTACTCACGAAGTCTCTCACTTGTAAACCATTCTTTGCATCCTTATCAGGAAGATACGATTAGGAAAATCCTTTCTCCTAATCTGTATAAATAGGAGAAGGAACATGTTAATGTATTGAAGTATTTTTCATTTCTTCAATAAAGCTTCTTCAGTAATTGTTCTTATCTTCTATTCTTTTCATCACTAATTACAAAACTGATATCTAGTCTTATACAAATTTAAACATTTAATAGACTTTCAACTATGCATGTATAATGAATATCCTTCATTTGATTTCTTTATAAGTCATTCTTATGATACTAATTTTCTCTTAATCTTTCATTTCTAGTAATAGGTATATTATTAACTAAATAAAGTTACATATTAGGTCTTTTTAAGACTCGATTAATATATCATTTCTTAGATAGTCTTGGCAATTTTTGAGATAAATCTTTAAATATCTCAATATTAATAAAATTGGTTGTCTTATTTATATTAATCATCTTAAAATTGGTTGAATTATATTTTAATATTTTAATATAAATTAAAATATAATTCATATATAAGACTATTATAATAACCTTGGTCTTACTTACTTTTAGATATATGCATTAATTAACAATATTTTTCATAAATTTGAATGAAATAATGGTATCATGGAACTTTATATATAATTGCTTGGAAGCTTACTTAAGGTCATAAATAGATTTATTAAGTTTGCAAACTCAATTTTTCTTTTCCTTTTCTATGAATCATTCATGTAATTCCATATATATTTTCTCATTTAGATTCTCATTTAAAAATATTATTTTTATATCTATTCAATGTAACTCAAGATCATAATAAGTTATTAATGATATTTCAACCCTCAACGAATCCTTTTTAGATACCGGAGAGAATATCTTATTATAAGAGATATTTTCTTTTTGAGAAAAATGGTTACTCGTAAGTTAGATTTTAAATCATTCAATATTACCTCTCGAGTCACATTTTATCTTAAAGATCCATTTGTAATCGACTTTTTTAACTCTTCATCAATTGCATCATATCACTTTTCATAATCATTACTTTCTATATATTGTGATATAACATATAATCATCATTAACTTGTATCTCCTCAATATCAAAATTGATCCATTAAGATTTTTCATTTTCATTGATTTTAACATTTTTAAGAAATATTTTATTATCAAAATCTACTACCTCATGATCGAGGTAATAAAATATGTATCCCTTGGATTTTTTTAGATAATCAATAAAATATCGAAAAATAGTTTCTGGACCTAATGTTGTTTCTTGACCTAATTCATAACTCAAATAGATTTGATGTAACTAACCTACTATGAATCATGTTTAAGATATACATAGCTATCATAAGAGCTTCACCTTATATTGACTCAAGTACAAAGAAATAACTCATAATGTTTCTAATTATATCCTACAATTATTTTGATCATATTCATTATTTATATTATAAAATTCACCACTCCTATCAAATTTGATAATTTAAACTTTTCTATCTAATTGTCTCTCGACCTCGTTTTTTAGACTTCAAGAGTGTTAATAGTTTAAAACTTTTCATGTATTAGATACATATAATATATCTAGATAAATTATTTATAAATATAATAAAATACCTCTTTCCATTGAAATAGGAAAATTTGAGTGATTTGTATATATTAGTATGAATAATCTCATTGAGTTCTTTACTCATTGTGATATTTTTCTTTATATGTTTAGTATGACTTTTATTAATACAATTTAGGCAAATATCAAAATTAGTGAAGTTGAAATCTTCTAAAATATTATCTATTCCTCATTAATATTTTAATTCTTTTATTGAAGATATGCCCTAAATATCTGTCATAATATAGAAGATTTTTCATCATTAAAATTATATTTCAATCCAACGTTTGATTATAGGGTCACTAGTATCACTACAAACTCAATATTTAAATTAAATTTGTATAAAACATCACATAGAATTCTAAAATCAATTTTTATTTAATCATAAAATATATTGAGTTTATCATTATGAAAAAAAATAATTTCCTAACTCATTAATTCTATAAAAATAAATATATTTTTTTAAAATAGTAGGAACATAGTATGTGTTAACAAGATTTATCATATGGCATGTCTCTAGGCGTAGGCGATAAGTTCTACTACTATCACTTTTGCTTTGAGACGATATCCTATAATAACGAATCTTTCATATTATTTTGATTTCCAAGTTAATTTTTTTTTGATGTTATTGGTAACATGAGATGAAATATCAGAATCAATCTACCAAGTATTAGAATGAATCATTATAATATTTGATTTAAAATATATAAAGATAGAGTCTATATATTTCTTCTCCAACTAGGTCTTGCATTTAATATGGTCCATTTTCATATATCATTTCTTGCTATAAAAGAAGTACTTTATTATAAATATTTTTTATTAGTTTGTTTAATATTTATAAACGTGACAAATTTATTTGATGGATAACAAATTAATTCTTCCTAAATATATATTAATCAGATCATTCAAGTTTCACCTATCCTTATTATTTTTATTATAGTGAATATTGAATGAGCCAAACTAAGTAGGAAGATAATTATATATGAATTATACGATGATAAATTCATCCATATTCATGACTATTACTTTAAGTTTCGTAGCCTTGTCATATTAAAGATGTAATATTGAATCTCTCGAATATCATCATATTGAACCACAATCAATTTTTCATTAATGTACCAGCCAATGACTTATCAATATATTTAAAACTATCTTTTATAGTCCTTAAATATTTTGTGTGCTAGTTGTAAATGATAATAAAATTTTTATATTATTTATAATTTTCATTCTTATAAATATTAAACTGAATTTAGTAGATCTTTTCTTAGTATTAATTTTATTTATTAGTTTCATAGTGCTTTTATTAGTCAAATATGTGGATTTTCTAATAAACAATGTTAGATCAAGATCTAATACATCCAATGTAAACTATATATATTTTAATTATTCTAAATAATTAGAACCATATAGTACAAGGATATTAGAAACATTAAAGTGCTTAGAAAGAAGTATTATTGTAAACTATAAAATAATATTAATGTTTTGAGTTTTTAAAATATGATAAACTATTGATATCATTTATATTTCACCTTTGAGTGAAATATTGATATATCTAATGTTCGCTTAAAATTATTTACGGAGGACTGATGATATTTTTATGGAATAGTATTGATATATTTGGGTATATAATTCTAAATTATAAAGATATCTAAACTAGTATCATCATATCTTATCATATAATTATTCAAAGATGAGAATTATCTAAAATTTATAATTACTTGTATCATTGTGAATATTATCTTTTAATATCATTTAGGATTAATTTTTTAATATAATTTATTAGTCTAAATCATTTTGGCAACTATCAATCAAATAAAACCTAAGGATATAAATTATAAATAATATTCACTAAGTATCTTTTAATCTAATTTATGTAAAATTAGTTTAATAATAATAAAATAATAATCATGATAATTATTAAACATTAATCAACATAAACAATAACTCATATGATAATTATAATCATGATAAAATATAAATCATGCCCTTATGTAAAAACAAAATATTACTTATTAACTTAAAAATATACATGTGAATAACCAATCAAATATTCAAGAATAATAATTCAAATTTAATTATCACATGTAAGAATTTATCAAAATATCATATGAGAAAATTAAAAAAAATCATTATTTATATATTTTTTGTATGGAATCCTAAATTAGATTGACCTTATTTAATTGGATAAGCTTAATTAAGTTAGTCAAAAAATAAAGTTAATCAAAGTTAAAAATTGATCGAAATTCTATCAAAATTTGATTGATTGAATGTAAATCTAATTAAGCAATCAAAATACAATCATGATCAAATTTGATCAAAATACTTGATTAAAGTAAATTATATTAGTTAATTTTAAAATTGAGGACACTCAGAAATTTTAATTTTTGATGAGTAAAACCATAATTTTTCTTAGGATATATAATAAAAATATATAGTTTTTGAAGGGTAAAACAATCAATAGAATATAAATTGAAATTAACGGATTTATAAGAGCAAAATCATAATTTCAAAACTAAAACCCTAATTTTCCAGCTTCCTTTTACGCAATCGTTGTGCGAGGCATGCGCTTGCCATGGCACAAGGGCATTGCCTACAACTGTCACTCTAAGCGGCAGCTATCTTAACACTATCGACTGGCGACCTCACCGATCGCCATGTTGTGCTATGTTGTCGTGCCGACGCGTAATTGTGCATATGCATCACTTAACGATCCCCACGGTTGCCACTGTGCATGGTTATGCCCATGCGTTTGTGCGATCGTGGCTATTTTGTTTGCTATGCCGATCGTAGCTAGTAAATGCTGGTGCAATAACATTGTTGCAACCATTATAGGTAGTGTTGCTACAACCACCACACATAGTGACACTATTGCAACCGTTGTGGGTAGCATTACTATTGTAACCATCGTGACACTAACACTACTACAACAGATTGCGACCAAGGTAGACTAATCGTTGCAAGGCTATTGTACCTAAGTATTTGTGCATGCGATTGCTTATGATTGTCGCACCCCACAATGTTTTCACTATGTATAATAACACATGCATGTAGTTGCTGCCCGCGATTCGACTCACAGCTACAAAGGCCATCACCCTAAATAATATTATCACTAACAATAAATTATCAACGATGATCTATCGATCAAATACAAGGAACCTTGTATCACCCGTAAGCAAAAGACAAGATGGATTAGATAAAAAAACAGATTGTATTATTATATTTTCGTAAATCAAAACTGAATAATATATTTTCGCAAGCAAAGGGTACCAATAAACAAATCTAATATATTTGATTTCAAAGATATGACTTTAATATCAATTGTAAACATAAAAATCATGATTATATTATTATTATTATTATGTGAAAAGCTTTAATACTATAAACTGAAATCAAATAATAATAGATTAAATTTATGATATATATTTTTTTATTATTATTTAAAAAAGTCTTTATCTAATATGTAATTATACCATTATCAAATTTGAAAGTTATAATAATTATGTTAGGAGAACTAGATTCGTCTTTTCCTGTTTTCTTATACTTCATAAGATCGTTATGAGTGATAGATTAGAGACTAAAAATTATTAAAAATAAATCTATAATCTTAATTATTAATGTTTCATCTCTAAAATATCTTATAATTTTTATAGATAAAAATAGAAAATCTAAGATAATAATTAGAATAGTCTCTCATACTAAATTCATCTCCTAAAAAATCAATCCTATTATAATTAAATTATATTTTTATTTTATTAATAAATGATAATTAGAATCTAATCAAGATTATAATATATCTTAATCACATAATCTAACAAATTAATCTTTCTTACTTCCTCAAGATTATAATATATCTTAATCACATAATCTAACAATTAATCTTTCTTACTTCCAACAAGTTACCGTTATCATCTCTTTAATAAATGATTAACGACGCTGAGGTACAATAGGACCTATGTCTCCGTTAACAATGACAAATTATGCATGACGTCATACAATAGGCCACACTCCCTCCCATCGTCCCCCGGCTTCGTTTGGAGGTTAAGATGTTCCCGGAGGAACATCCGCATCGAGTATGATGGAGCCGGTGTCGCGTCTAATCTGCAACGAAATCTCCGTACGTCTCTGTATCTTTTATCGCAAATAATAATGATATGATAACGAGGTAATATTCCATATACATCCATATTCTTTATAGGTTAATGCAAGGGTAAATGCGTTATTTAAATTATCTGCAGGCATGGGTCGGTAAAGAACAACCAACTATCTACGCCTAATTAAAAGGGTGTCGATATATGTCGAGGGATTGGGGTTGGCTACGGGTCCTTATTAGCCTGCGGGAGGCGGCGGCGGCGACGAGAATTGGAGGCGACAAGGTGAGGAAGAAGGGTTAATGCCCCATCAACACGGCGAGGTATCGATTCCCACCCTACGCCCTCTTACTTCTTCATTAATTATTTCTTCTTTCCCTATTCCCTTTTGCTCCTTCCTCCCTTCCTTCAAGATCCCATCGAACCCCTCCCTTCTTCTCTTCCGATCGGATTCTGCGGTTCGATCGGTGGTGTTTCTGGGACCTGCGGAGATGCCGACCCCCTGGGGTTTGGATCTGATATGGAGAAGGGGCGTGGAGGAATCTTGATGGTAGAGCTTCGGATCTTGGGGTTGGATTCTCCCTCTTTCCTTCTTTCCTTCCTTCAAGATTCCAAGAACTCGGGTTTTGCGGTATGATCCGTGGTGTTTCTTGGGAATAAGCCGATGCGGATCCTTGGGGTTTGGATCTGATGCGAGGGAGCTCGTAGCTGTGGGGTTTCGGATCATGGGATGAGATCGTTTTTCGCTGATAGATCTGTGGATTTTGGCTCGCTCTGGATTTGCTTGATTAGTTGTGCGTAATTTTGTGCATGGTTGTTGCACATCGATGATTTAGAGTATTAGCTTCAATCAATGAAGCAATAGTCATTGTAGGCATCGAGATCTTTGCTGATTGAACGGTTTTGTTGACAGGATCTTGTTATTTGTGCCTTTTGAGATGGGTTCTTTCCTTTTTGTCCCCCGGGATTTCCCCTATAAGCACTTTGACCATTTTAGTTATTAGATTGGCCGTTGTCGTCTGGACGAGGTTTGAGTTTTTTGTGATTTGAGTTATGATTGTTGGATAAGAATCTTGAGGTGACATTTCTTTGGGTTCCTGCTCTTCATGCACTAAGCCGGAGGAAAATCTATTACTCGTTCAATTTCTTCATTATGTTAGGGTTTTACTAATAAGACTGGCGCATTCGTGGTAAAAGAAAATCCTGTCTGTCAAACTCCACGGCATGTAGATAAATCATGAATGCATGTTATATTTGAGGACTAATAACTCTGGTCTCTCTGGTCTCTTGAATGAAAATTAAATCTGTAGCCTCTATTATCAGAATATGAAGACAGATAGAGTTTATATAATTATGATTATATCACATGATCTGTTATAGTATCGGTAAGAACCTAATTACCAATAGTGCTAGATGGTTGGTTGATGCCATTTGGCCATTCACATGTTCTGATCTGTGTGTGCTACTCTGCTCTGTAATCGAACCTCAAAATGTTCCCCACCTTAGGTGGTGAAGGTAATAATTGCCTCGTTGTCCTTCAGTTATTTTCTTATATTATTATGTGTAGTTAGCTTCATGATCCGTGCTTTTTAGTTTCCAAAAATCTAGAAATTTATTGTAGTGATTGTGACCTATGAAACTGAATGTAGCTAGTCCTCCCTGGAACCTGAATTTAACTAAGAGTTTGTAATCTCATCCAAATAATTTGATCATATTTACTGAATAACAATAAGTCTCTTCATGTCTGTAGCTAAAATTATGTATAATTGTTCTGTTTCTGGGTTTTGGATATATTTTTATCTTATGTATAAAATTGTGAGTAGATTGTTATACTTCTTCTTTGGCTTGGCAAGTCTACTGTTCATCTTATTGTTTGTGATGCTGTTGTGGTGTTTTGTGTCAAGTGACCATCTTAATTTTATCTGTCTGTGTGTGTCTTACAAAGAACTTTGCTTTAAAAAAAAAAGAACTTTGCTTCAAAATCTTCAGTCCTTGTGTCCACTGGAGCAACACTGTAACGTGACTGCTTGATGCTACCAGTGGTCACTTTACAGGCTTGATGCTACATATTTTTACAAATATCTGCTGGTGATGGATGTTCAAGTGCTAACATGTCATATCCTTCCTGTTTGATAGGTTCTGCATTTTCACGATCTTGTGGGCTTAACATTTGCACTATATACATGGAGCAAGTCCCTTTTTGGTCAACTTTCTGCCTCTGCCAACTCTTCTTATTCCAGGAAGCTCTTGGTTGGCGGATTCTTGCTCTTGGAGGCTTTTTTCTTGTCTCTTTTGTCAACTATACTTAGTGGGGAGATATTGGTCCAAGTCCACTGTGGTTAGATTGATGCAGATTGCTTTTGAAGTTGTTGGATCGATGCTGAACTTTCAGAAGTAACCCAGCTACTTGTGCTTTTGAATACTATATATGTACTTTCCACATTTAGTGTGCTCATAATTGGTCTTCTGTGGCAGCATATTATCTGCACAACATCTTTTCGAAGTTTGTCGGAGTTCTCAAGTTGTTAACATCAAAGAAATAATCAGTGGGGTACAATCTTCTTGTTCATATATTTTAGGTAATATGTTTGTTTGCAGTATCTTAACATCAGAATTTTGGCTTTGTTGTTTTTTCTCAGGGCTGAGCTAGTGAGGTTTATGCAGTTTCCTTACATCCTAATTAGTAGACATTTTCGCTTGCTTGCGTCACTTAAGTCAGCCCTGAGATTTGCTGCTTCTTTCTCTGGGAGTTCTTCAATGAAGAAATGTGTTTGAGCAATAACATGTCACAGTGCCTGTGCAAAGCTTTTATGGAGGAAGAAAAGCTTCATTGAAGTTGTTTTGCTCTGGTTCTTTTGGGCAATCAAGTTTTTTGTAAGCTTCATTGAGCTTGCTTTAAATTGCTTCTTTTGGGCAATCATGTGGCTAACATGAACTCCGAAATGTCATCTGCAACAATTTTTAAGGTTTAAATTGGCCTCACGGAGTTTACTTTAGACTGCTGGAGGATAAGACTTTTGCAGCAGTCTCAGAGATCTGGTAGTGGGATCTATTATTTCAGAACTAATAGTCTATATCTGCTGAAGCTTGTTTAAGATCTGTTACATATCTAAGATCATCTCTTCAAGCATAATCATTTTGTTGTTTCACCATACTACTTGTTAGAGATATAAATAAACTCTTGAGGACTTGGAGATTATACCTAGCTACAGCCGCTGAAAACAATGGAAAGGTGGGTTTGAACTTTGAAATGTTTATGATGGTTTTTTTACATGTAATGCAGTGACATGAAGGAGAACTACCAACTGTTGCAGGTTTAAATTGATTAAGGAAGTTGGTGATGGAACTTTTGGGAGTGTTTGGCGTGCTTTAAATAAGCAGAGTGGAGAAGTTGTATGTTATCTAGACTGTTCTTAGGCTCTACCTGAGATGTGTATTTTCTTTTTTGTCTTTGAGATGTATATTTTCTTTTAATTTGTTTGTGATTATGTAGGTTGCAATTAAGAAAATGAAAAGGAAATACTATTCATGGGAAGAATGTATGAATCTTCGGGAAGTGAAGGTAACATGTCCCTGTGGTCTTCTGCATCTCAACTATATTCCTCTTATGTGTTGCTGATTTATTATTGTGGAGGGTTTTATTACATCATTTTTTTTCAGTCTCTTCGGCGGATGAACCACCCTAATATTGTGAAGCTTAAGGAGGTCATAAGAGAAAATGATATATTGTACTTTGTGTTTGAGTACATGGTATGATGATATGACACCCTTCTTTTTTTATTTATTCTACATTTATGTATCATGGGATTTAAAATAATTTTGGTGAATGTCTTCAGGAATTCAATCTTTACCAAATTATGAAAGACAGAGGCAAGGGTTTCTCAGAGGCAGAAATTCGTAATTGGTGTTTTCAGATATTTCAAGCCCTTGCTTACATGCATCAGCGAGGCTATTTTCACCGTGACCTCAAGCCTGGTAATTGCTTTGTGTTTTGTGTTTAATGTCTATACATCTAAGCCATGAGTGTATAATTTGTGAAAATCTGTAAAATCTATATTAAGTTGAAAATAGTATATGATCTTAACAAATCAGTAAATCTTTCAAGTGATATGATCCAATCAGCTTTCCTGGATTGCTTTGATATTTTGTGTTATGCAGATGCTCTATTGTATTTTTGCAGATGCTTTTTTTATCTCCTATGATCGAAGTAGCCATTTAGGTTTAGAGACTCTGTTGGTGGTTTCTAAAGGTTAGATCATTGTGCCGTTCCTTCAAATATTTGCAGACTTGAATTAGTCCCTAGGAAGGGATTAGACAACAAAAGATAGCACAATGATCGAAGTAGCCATTTAGGTTTAAGAGACTCTGTTGGTGGTTACTAAAGGTTAGATCATTATGCCATTCCTTCAAATTTTTGCAGACTTGAATTAGTCCCTAGGAAGGGATTAGACAACAAAAGATAGTATAATGTGGATTGGTTGTCAATTGTTCATTCAATTATGGTACTAGTATAAGCAATGAGCCCTTACAACAGTAATTGCTAGTCATGTGGACGGAGGGCCCCATCAGTCGACCAACATCGAATGACTTTAGTACCTTGCCTTCCAACCACCTCCCAAATCAGGCCTGCCGAAGAACTTTTACGCAGAGCAAAATGCTGTAGATTGCTCCACAGCTTTAGTACATTTCCTTCCAACGATCTCCTACATCAGACCTGCATAAGAACTTTTATGCATTGCAACATGCTGTGAGAGTTTGCTCCACGTGGTTGTGGCATAAACAGGAACCGTTGTGGTTGTGGCATGTGTCAGGTGTCCTGGTCATCTTGATCATTCTCCAGCTTCCTTCGCTATCTCTTTATCATCTTCTTCATCTATATTAAACAGTGTCAATCATTGGATGATCCCGCTGGGTGAACTTTCAGTGATTCTCTTCCTTTCTGCTTATAGGATAAGGATCCCCACATCACCCACACTCTGAGCTTCTCATCTTTTACATGAGTGAAGGCTGGATTTGTTCCTAACATCAAACTCAGCAAGGTGACTAAAAGGACCGTTATCATTACCAAAGAATCATATTATGCATTTACAGCTACTATAGGGTATATTTTGAAATAAAATTATTTCCGTGTGAGATCTTGTTCCATAAACTTAAGTCTCTCTTATCACTTCTTTAAGACCGAGAATTAATTATTCATCACCACCCTTCTATGTTAATAATTTTCTCACTCGATATTTCGTGCTTGCTTTTCATAGGAAATGACAGTGAAGCTTATTATGTTATTATGTTCATATTGCTTTTCATAGGAAATGGAAGGGACTCAAGATAGTAGTACAGATATTATTATGTTCATATACTCTTCTTTTTTCTGGCCCGGCATACAATTGATGTAATAAACCTTTTAGTTCCTGCCCTGTTTAGGATGGATTTGCTAGAGATGACAAATAATATAAGACTCAACCGAGCTTGATTTCAACCTACAACGCTAACTCTTCTTATCTTCCTTGGTTTCTGTTTTGTTTCTTTTCAAACCTAATATTTAAACCTTTTCTGTATATCTCACAAACATATTTCTGAGTTTGTAGAGGTATTTCTAAGCTATATGCATCTGATAACTGAAATTTTTTGAAGAGACATGTGGAGAGACCATAAAGTTGCATTTTGAAGTTTGTAGAGCACTTGCGGATGCTTGACAGAATCCAATTACTGTGTGCAGTACCATAAGGCCCTTGAGAATTCTATTTTTTTGTTTGTGCATCTAATGCAATTCAATGGTCTCATCAGCTGTACATTATGTCATGCTTCAATGGTTTTTGTAGACTGATTGTCACAAAATGTTGGTGTAAAGAACATTGTCATGTGTCACATTTTTCTTCTATCTTTTTGAGAACATTGTGTTTTATGGTAGGGGGTTAGCTTTCCTTTGTTTATTTAGATGGGAAATGAAATTCCTCTATGTCGAAGATTTTTGCTATATTGCACAGAGCTGCATTGATATATGAGTCAAGATTTTATCTGTAATATCTATCTAAATTCTAGTTAACTTGGAAAGAAATTTCTGATATGTTGCTATTATTTGTTGCATTAGTTGTCAGATATATTTGAAATTGCGTATTAGCATTTTTAAACATCTTTGGATTTTTTTTTTCAGAGAACCTATTGGTCACAAAGGACATTATAAAGATAGCAGATTTTGGCCTAGCACGGGAAGTTTGTTCACAGCCACCATACACTGATTATGTTTCTACCCGTTGGTATGTTTAGTTTGATAATTTGCAATCTACATCATGCTATGTCATGTTATTAGTTTATTCCTTGAGCATCTAATATGTGTGGATGTGCTAGGTACCGAGCACCTGAAGTTTTGCTGCAGTCATCCATTTATGGCGCTGCAGTTGGTAAGTTTAAGTTTGTTACACACTTCAAGCATAAAAGATTTTTAACATATAGTAATCTTCATTTTATTTGTTTCTATTATCTTTAGATATGTGGGCTATGGGCGCTATCATGGCTGAGCTATTTACTCTCCGTCCTCTTTTTCCTGGCTCAAGGTACCAGATATAATTAACTTGTATTGCTCATTTAAAGTTTCCAACAACATATCTTTCCATTTATTTTCTTCCTCTTGTTAGTCTTTTAAATCTCCCGAGTGTAATCCATAACCCGTAAGCTCTGAATTTTGCTTCTTGTTTTACTATTTATGCTGTTGTATGTGAACATGAAAAATATGATATCATTGATTATGATTGATGCCTAATACATAATTTGTGGCTAAAAAGTTCCTATATTGACCAAATATGTTAGTCCAAAACCAAGGGAAACATACGAGAAAGTAAAACATTTTGCTTTTTGTACAATATAACCACAACCACCTAAAGTTGAAGCTCATGTAATTGGAATAGACACCTTTTGCTATATAATGAGCCAATTCAGCTGAAAGCAGCTTCCTATTTGGTTGAGGGATAGCATGGAAGTTGTTAATGTGCTACATCTGACAGTAGTTGGTGTATGTCTGCAATCTGCCTAGAATTTAGCAACTATCTTTTACATGGAAGTTGCTGGCGGTGAGGTTCAACGACTTGCAAGAGACTGGTGATGGGGGAAGGGGTCTCATATGTAGCTGTTTGAGGAAAGGTTTGAAAAGATCCAAAGTTCTATAACATGCATGCTATATGTATCCTGTAGTTAAAGATTTATATAGTATGAACTGCAGTTAAAGATTTGGATGGAATATGGATCTGTATTGTCCTGTCCTATCACAAAAATAATTACAAAAATAAATACCGATGGATGCTGACCTATATGTTCCAGTACTGGTGCTTGGTCAGAATGGTAACAGATTTGTACAACCAAAATTTGTACAACCAGATATAGATGACACAAAACAAGTTTGATTATGATATGTTTTCTGATTTTCTCTGGTTTGTTATTCCTCTGCAAAATCAAGCTACTCAATTATTTGTCCTCAGTTTTGTGTCCTCTTGTTTGTTCCTTGTTGTAAATACAAGTTTGCCATGCAGTGAAGTGGACGAGATTCACAAAATTTGCAGTGTTCTTGGTAGTCCAAATGAGGACTCCTGGGCAGAAGGATTACAGCTTGCAGATTTTATGAAGCATCAGTTCCCTCAGGTAATTTGTGTACCTGACAAGTTTATTACGCTTTCTAAAGTTTATTAAGCATCTGTTTAGGGCATTGTTACTCAATTACTTGTTTGACGTATTATCAGGTATTGGTCATTGTTACGCCGTCCATTTTTATGCAGACGGATGCAATGATATTGTGTGATATCTTCTATATAAATCATGTTTGGCTGTAACATGGATTTCTGTTGTTTTCTTTTAATCTTTCTGTATAAACCTAGACTTTATTTTTATGGAAAATTGAATATGCTTCTTTGCTCTGGGTGCCTTATTTACATTATTATATTGTTCATTATACATGTCTGATGTGAAATTATGACAATGTATTAGTCTGCAATCATCCACTATATTAAGACAGTATGTTAGCACATTACTGATCCTAAGTGCACTGAGGCTATACAATCTCATGATTTATTTCTCCATTTATCTTAAGTTATACTGCACAAACTAATCCTACAATGTATTTCCTTGGTGTGCAGTGTCCTCCTGTCCATCTATCACTTTTAATTCCCTCTGCCAGTGAGGATGCAATTAATCTAATTACAGTAAGCATATGATTTTTCTTGTTTGTTTGCTTTTGAAGTGATACAGGAATTATTGCTGTTCTTGATTAGTCTAATATCTTTTGTCCAACGATGATACACTATCTCTAGGCATTATGTTCCTGGGACCCCTGCAGGAGACCAAAAGCATCCGAGGTTCTTCAACATCCTTTCTTCCAAGTGGGCATCGTTCCTCTGTCTTGCCTTATTTATAGTGAAGATGTTATGTAAATTGGCATGGCCTTTTTACTAGAAAATATGCTAATACCTGTTTCATTCCTTGGATATTTGTAGTCATGCTTTTATGTGCCTCCATTCCTTCGTCCAAGAGTGGCGTCACATACACCTGGTCAGTTTTTAACTTTAGAATTTTGTTCTTGTCATTATGCTAATCATTCTGAGGTTGATTTCTGAAATAAGCATGATTTTCTTGTTATTGAAGTTGGGATCAAAGGAGCACCGGAGCAGAGCAGTACTAGAAGATATTCAACTGGAGCTCTGTCTGTCACTAAATCAGCAAATAGTTCTGTAACAGCAAAAGCAAATGCTTCTCTCAGAGCTGGTAAGTTTTTCATTAGTACAAGACATGAATGACAAGCCATGGTCAGGTTTTATTTGTATTGTGAAAGCAGAAGTAACTATTTTTATGGGAACTTCAACTTTTGTCTTGGTTTGATTTGCTTTTGCATGACATGAAATAACCATCTATTGGAGTCATATGATCGAATTTGTTCTTGCAGGTGTTCAAAGGAAATTGGAGATGGATAATCAGGTGGCTTGCAGTTCTTTTGTATCTTATTTTTATCTATACGTATTCTCATCATCTTTTTTACTATGGTTAGGAGTTTGAGAAAAATGGAAAATCCCCGAAGAACAATCTGAAAGAATCTCGATATAAACCACCAGCAAGGCTTAACCCAGGCAAGTTGTTTTTTGTACTGTAGTTGCAGTTTCTTTGGTTATTGTTTTATTGTTTTGGTAAACTTTCTAGCAGTGTTGTTTTATTTAAATAAGGGTGTTTTTTGTGAATTTTCGAGCAGGACATTTGGGACGGAATCTTGGCAAGGTTACTGATGTGCCGAGTAAAGCTCATGTACAAATGACTGACAAATTGGGACGTATGTCACTGAATTCTCGTACACACAAAACGGACAAGCCTCCACCTTCAATGAAAGCTGGTGGTTGGCACAGCCAATCTGAGATTCCTGCCAGGAGGTATTCCAGGAAAGTAGTTGGCTGAGTCAAAAACCTTTGCAGTCAACTAAACGCACCGTATGTTTCTGGTGAAAAACGTTTGCCGTGTTTTTATACGAGCTCTCTTGCATTTTGATGATCTACCCGAAAATATTTACCTAGAAAATGTTGACGTTATAACGGTAGCGTGCACGCGGTTTAGCATTAGTGGTAGTGCCTTGTTTATTATAGTGGTTGGTTGCACTTTTAACATTGTTGGTGGATGTTTGCGGCTTTTAGGACTGGCGCTTGCTGCCTTTTGTGAAAAGCACCAATTTCTAATACATTTGGGGAAAAAACAAAAAATATATCAGATCGAGATGCTAGCTTGGCGATATAGCGGCATCCGTGCACACGGATGCCCGGGTTGGAAAAGCATTAGAGCTTGTGTGCGATTGCTTATCTGTTGTTATTGTTCTAGTTAAATTATTTGGATTGTACTTTATATGAAAGCGGTAGGGAGCATAGTTCTCCATACACAACACCTACCGCGTGCTGAACCGAGCGCGTTTCGAGGGTCAGACTGTCTGTCTCTGCTGGATCCAACATAAGACCTCGGCATAACACGATAATTGACTGTTACCAGTACAGCATTGCATCGGCGGTGAGGTCACATCAGATCAAGGGGGACAAACCAAATCGGTAAACATGGTGTGACAATACTGTGAATAGCTCATGTCCGCTCCCAGGACCACGCAAGGGTTAACAACATAGACGACTGTCAATTAAGTACCGTCTATGAACCACACTCCTTATCTAATAAACTCCCATACCCCTAATCTAATAAATTCGAAAGAAGAGAAAAGATAAAGGCGGTTTAATATCAGAAGTAGCATCGATGCTGAAATCTGCCACATAATGGGTGCACACACTATAAAGTTCACCATCATCAGTTGCAGTAGAAAATGTGACAAAACTTGCAGGAAATAACTTTTTTAGGTGTGCGCCTTGCACTAATAGATAGGCCGGGCAACAGCAGAATTGAAATGCAGCCTGCCCTTCCAGCAATTAATTAGGGTTAATATAAGGTTCATAAGAGACTCATGGAGCCTAAATCGCTCACCGGGCAACGGCGATCTTTACACTATTCCCTCTTTGGTAGATGCACTCCACTCACGCCCAACAGATCTCTTTCTATCAGACCGCTCCTCTTTCATGGCCTTTGGAAGCCCGCATCTTCCTGCCCCTCCAAAAGAAGGTCTAATCGCACTTTATCTAGTTTCTGCCTCGTCTCTTCCCTCCCGGCTCCTGGCAGCGGGCGAACCTACAGACTAAAGTCCGTTACTGTCCCACTGCCAAGGCCACACCCCCTCTTTTTGCTTCCAGTTTAACCCTTATGATGACCATCAACCTTTACTTGTCATCACGTTATATGAATTCTTGTGTTCCTTAATATGTTTCCGATCACGTTATATATATGTATATATACATGTGTGTATGTGTACATATACATATACACATACACATAGATATATATACATAAACACATACACACACACACATATATATATATATATATATATATATATATATGGCGGTCTTGCTGATGGCGGTCATCCCCTTATCCGCGGTCCTACTGGGGATCGGGCATTGAAGGAAGGGTCCAAAACATACTTAGGTCTAGGCTTCTCCCTAACTCTCTCGTCCCCTCAAAATTCTTCCATGAACACTCATGGAAAACCACTATAGCACTCATCGCCCGCGGACAACCAAGAAAGTAACGAGCAGGTGTGGTTCTATAAACGAATTTAAAGCGGGAAATAAAGAAAGCAACACTTGAACCTAAATCTTGATTAAAACAAAATAACAAAGAAGCGGTGATAGCCATACCAAAGAAGATCTGCTTACCGTCGACTCTGGAAAATTTGAACTTCCATGGGAGACTCTTACCGTCGAGCACCTGTGGCAGATTTCTACGACCATGTCGTTGCTGCAAGCGGAGGAGGAATTGCCTCTGCAGCCAATTTTTTGAAGAGATTCCCAAATGAAGAGCTAACGAAACAAAACAAAGTTTAAAAGGACAATAGAATCAAAAAGGAAAAGGAAAAGAAAAAGAAGAGATCTATTAAACAAAAGCAAAACACATTTTCGTTGCATCGACATGAACAATCAGATCTATCTGTTTCTAACATAAAGAAGACCCAAGATTCATCTAACACAGCGAGAAACGAAACGAAACAAGCCAAAGATCGATCGAGAAAAGCGAAAGAACCAAGGGAGGGAAAAACGAAAAAGCAACCCAAGAAAAATCGATAGGAAGAAGCAAAGGAAACCCACCTTCTCATTAGGGTAGGAAAGAAACGATCCAAGCATCCGAAGGCGATACAACCTTCTCTTAAGGCTAGGAGAGCCCAACCGAAGCAAGAAACCCGAGAAAATCGACCGAAAGAAGAAAAAGAACCCTCCCTTATCTTTAGGGTAGGTCAGAAAGGAAACAAGCATCGGAATGCAATAGAACCCCAACTTGAGGCTCGGAGAGCGAAAACCGAAGCAAGAAACCTTGAAATGATCGATCAAGAAAAGCAATAGAACCGCCTACCTTCCCCGCTCCGCTCGTTCCATGATTCGTTTGAGGACGACAAAGAACACAAAATGACACAAGAAACGCAACAGAGGTCGATCGGGAGAAGCGATAAAACACAAATTCTCTTACCTTCTCCGATCTCCTCGCTTTACAACGCCTTCCGGCACCTTCTCTCGCAAGATCTTTCACGGAGACAGAACCCTAATCGAAGCTCTCCTCCCTTGCCTCCTCTCAGAATCGCATAGGCTGCTTTGGCTTTGGGGAAGAATTGATCGCGGCTTCCTGCTTCTTGTTCGTTCGACCACTTCTTGTACGAGAGTCAAAAGTTCTCAAAGCTCCGAGGCAAAAAGCGCGAGCAAGCCTCCGAGTTAAACCCCAACCTGCTGTGTAGAAGAGGACCCCACAGACCTACGCATCCCCCCCGCACGTGCCTAGTGACACCACCAAATCTGGACCGCCGGATGGAATGAGAACTAAACGATGATCCAAAGGCATCTGTAAACACTCGGACGGCAAAGATTGATTGAATCAACCCAAAAGGTCATCGATCCAACGGCTCTGTGTTTCAGGTGCCGTACAATTAAAAGCATAAGAGACTGGACCTTAACACAATTCCTCACTTCACCGTGTCAATTCCAAAATAACATACAACAATACAACGATGCCGGGGAAGCCACGTTATCGTTGTAAGATGTTATGATTTTTTTTTCTCTAACTCCTCTCTCAATTTTTTGACAATAAATTGAGAAGTAATCATGCATGTAACTCATTATCAAAAGACATTTTCATAAAGGATAACTGGTTAGTGATACTTTATATTTTATTTAAATACTCAACAGCATAAAAGCATCCTCTTTATATTTTAGGTTCATAAGTTTTCTGATAAAAAAACTTTATTATCAGTTGTTTTTCTTTTATAGAGACTTTCCAACTTTTTTCAAAGAGAATATGTAGAACTTTCAATAGAAACATAGTGAAAGATATTATCATCAAACCACTATCAAATAAACCTAATTATTTTTCGATATAACCTCTTCCACTCATCATTTGTCATAGTTATAAATTTTACACTATCCCCCTGCAAAGGTCTATACAAATCTTTGCAATACAAAAGATCTTCCATATCATCCAATTGTTTCCATTCAAACTAATCACCACAACCCTGATGGTAGTTGATGGGATATAAAGAGAAATAAACTTTTGTATATTAACAAATACTAGTAGGCTATAACATGTAGCAGAATTAAATGGAATCACAATCAAATAGAACATCAAGATATACATGGAAAACCCCTCCAACATGAAGGGTAAAAACCATGGGGCAAACTAGAGATAATTCACTATGAGAATAATGAATATATAAATCTCAATCTCTTGCCCAAAACCCTAGCAACAATTATAAGAGAATAATTAGGATACAAGGATTACGTCACTGTGCACAATATTTAAATTCTCCCCAAGTAATCATAGTAAGAATCTACTATAGATCTGATCTAACCTGAGATGAAAACACTACTAGATGATTGAGAATAGTCTCTCTGCGTTGTCCTTGTCTTCTTCTCTTTCTTTCTCTTGTTTTTTTGCCTTGTTCTCCTCATTTTCTTTAGAATCATGTGGCTGTAATTTTCGCCCTTGCTGCTGCCCTTTTTCTACCTCTTTTTTCGTAGCCACCACACCCCCTCTAATATGATTTAGGTTTAGGTATTAGAGGAGGTGGGCTGTTAAAGCCCACCATGGGCTGTCAGCCTAACAACCTCCTCCTTCAGCCCATAAGGGAGGTTGTCCCATGATTCCTCAATGTGAAGCCGTACCGAATAGTTGTCAGCATATCTTTTGTCTTTCTTTTGGTATGATCTTTGTCAATATGTCTGCTCTATTGTCATCTGTGTAAATTTTCTGAAGTTGCAATTGCTTCTCTTCAAGTACATTTAGAATCCAGTGATATCTGATATCTATATGCTTTGACTTGGAATGAAAAATTAGGTTCTTACACAAATGGATGACACTCTAGCTATCACAATGCACTAGGTAATTTTCTTGTTTTAGCTCCAATTCTTATAAGAATTCTTTCATCTATAATATTTCTTTACATACCTTTATAGCAGCAATATATTATACCTCTGTGGTGGAGAGAGCAATACACATTTGTAATATAGATTATCACAACATAGCTCCCCTTGCAAAAGTAAGTACATAACCTAATGTGGACTTCCTCGTATCTATATCTCTTATCATATCTGCATCTGTGTAACTTGTCAACACATGTGGTCTACCTCCAAAACTTAAACAAATCTTAGAGCTCCCTCTAAGATATCTAAAAATCCACTTCACTGTTGTCCAGTGCTCTTTGTTTGGATTTGCAAGAAATCTACTAGTAACACCCACTGTATATGCGATGTCCGGCCTCGTACATACCATTGCATACATTAAACTTCGAAGCATAAGGAACTTTTTATATTTTCTCCTTCTCTTCATCACTTGATGGACTCTGTTCTGAGCATAACTTGAAGTGACTTGCAAAAGGAGAACCAACTGGCTTTGCATTGCTCATACTAAACATTTTCAATACCTTCTCGATGTATTTCTTCTGTGACAACCAAATCTTCTTAGTTTTTCTGTCACGGAAAATCTGCATGCCTAGTATTTGTTTTAATGGCCCCATCTCCTTCATTGCAAAAGACTCACTC